TTTCTTTTTACCTTACTTTTATTTATTATCTTCTTCTCTCTCTCTCTCTCTCTCTCTCTCTCTCTCTCGTTGTGTTCTCTGGAGAAGAAAGGGAAATTACTTTGTGTCTTTTCAGGTCAGTTTAAAGTGTCACATCCAAGAATTAGTCGGGGCTTTAATTAATGCCTTAAAACTATCATTTATGATCGAAATAGAATTGTATAGCCACATGAGCGACGAGGAGTTCGAACTGGTTCGATTAAATAAGCACGAAAAACGTCGAGAAATTCTTAAAAATATCAGAGTTCGTATTTTTTTTTATATTAATGTTTGATCGAATCGATGGTATAGAAGTGAGATCTCTCTGACTGCAAATGAAAGTACAAGTCAACTGGGTTGATGGAATTTCTGAGATTTTAAGTACAAGTACATCGAAATTCGTCTGTTTCTTTTTACGCTGTCGTATTTCAGAGATTTTCTCTCCTGAATCGGATACTCGTATCTATGCCATCGAGATTTCTCGCGACCGGAAATTCCACGCGCTCCAACGCTCTATTCTATTTCCCGCAGATAAAGCTTATCGAGGATACTTTCGCCACGGGCGGTGTCTGCGGTAAATGCCTGTTTTGGCGGTTGGCCTCGGCCATAACGTGGGGCAACTTCTTCGTACACGGCAAAAACACCGCGCATTTGATCGACTCGGGAACATGGATGCCTAATCTAGGTGCGAATCTGACGGGCCCTATTTTCCCGCACGTCGTTCATGGTTTCCGAGGGATCAGCGTGCCGATCGCCACGTATCACGTACGTAAAGATCTTACGAACCAGCAGGTTGCGACGTCACGATTTTGCCCTTCCAGAATCCGCCGTGGCAGACCATCTCGTTGAGCGATTCCGGTGAGAAGGAATACGGCGGGCTGGTCTTCGACGTCGTGAAATATTTAGGGAGGAAACTGAACTTCACTTACAGCGTGATCAGTCCGGCGAGCAATCGAATCGTCAAGTTCACTCGCAACGCAACAACCGACATGGTGAAGCTACGTCTAACGTATAACAGAGTCTAAAGTTTCGTTAAATTTCTTGCAAAAATGAAGAATTCTTCATTAGATAATAAATTTAATATAGATTTTTTTAATTTAATTTAATTTAGATTGTAAATAAATTATGCGCAAGTTTATTTTAGCTTGTTCAATCAATATATAGACTGTAAATCTATAATTTTGTAATGACGAGTATCGTAAGGATATTTTAAATGTTGCAAAGATATTAACGTCGACAACGAGGGAGATGCCGTCGCAGATAATTGATATGATTTTGGAGAAGAAGATTCTCCTCGCGGCCTGCGCGTACACCGTAAACGGTAAGGGAAAGGGGCACATCAATTTTACCTTGCCGATCTTTATGCAAACCTACAGCTTCCTGACTGCAAAACCGAGTCAGCTTTCGAGAGCGTTATTGTTCACCGCGCCGTTCGCTAAAGAGGTAACCTTCGACTTTTATGTTTCTAATAATTAGAATTTATATACAGTATATACTTTGTATATATATATATATATATATATATATATATATCGCAACAAACGATATTGTATTTTATAATTAAAAAAAATAATGTCAACAAGATCGACAGGTAAAATTTAACTCTTAGCAGTATCAAAAACTTAAATTAGGAATCTTTTTCTAATTAGGAATTATTTTTTATTATTATTATTTCCTAGCAATTAGCAATCAATTTAGTTTGTTTTATATTAAAATTATGACGTTATTTATAAAATAGGAATAATAATATTATTTTGTGAAAAGTGGAACTATGCAGAAATTTTTATGAAACTCTCATAATTTGTGTAAAACGAAAGCGCAAAAATGGAAGCGCATCGTTAATTTAACGATCCCAAGACGACACCGGATGGAAGTAATTTGCAATTTGAGTCTGTCAAACGGCGCACTGACAGCTTTCCCAGTTAGCTCGGTTAGCTCCGATCTATTTTCACGCGCGTGTACACACATGCCTTCGAGCGGGCTAGTTTTGCTTGCAGACATGGGCCTGCCTGGCAGCATCCATTATTATAATGGGCCCGATCTTGTACCTGATTCACAAGTACAGTCCAAGCAACACGAGGAAGTCGGGGCTCAACTCTTCTTGGCAATGCATCTGGTACGTCTACGGGGCTCTTCTTCAGCAAGGTACGAATTGCACGTTTCTAGAAAAACGCTACTTTTATTCTTCGTCGTACAAAATCTTCCAGACCACTGACCAAATCATTTTTCGTGTATACGTCATTTCGGCTATTATCTTTTTCCCTTTTTGCGATTACTTTAATCGCTAGTTCTCTAATATTTTTGTCCAAAAAAAAAAGATTGATTCGTTTTGTTATTTTCATAAAAATGGAAAAAAACGGGAATCTTTTTTCGGATAAATTCGAGGGTACGTACGAATGATTTTAGGGGGAATGTACTTACCCCATTCCGATAGCGCTCGCTTGATGGTCGCTGTCTGGTGGTTAGTCGTGATGGTCTTGGTAGCGACTTATTCCGGAAGCTTGGTCGCGTTTCTCACATTCCCGAATATGGACATCACCATCCTGACGGTGGAAGATTTAATTACTCATAAAGACAGATTAACTTGGGGCTTTCCAAACGGCAGCTTTTTAGAGGAATATCTGAAGAATGCCGAAGAGGAGAAGTATCATACTCTTCTGGAGAAAGCCATAATTCATAACGCCACGCAAGAAGCGGAAGTTATAAAGAAAGTAAAAGCGGGCAAGCACGCATTGATCGATTGGAGAAGCACATTGAGGTAATCTCACGACAAAAAAATTGATATTAAAAAAAAAATTATTCCCTCCTTTACGAATTTACGAGAAACTTTCTCGAGAAGAAGTATGTAAAGTCCGAAAAGAAAGGTAAAGGTCTATATACTTTTGGCTCATCAAACGTTATTAAGTATTTTCTTGAATTTCGTGATAAAATTTAGATATTGTTACTTAAATATTTTATCCTGCAACGCTACAAAACAAATTAGTCCGTTCGATAGAATAACGATAACGATGCATTGCCCGAGCAGATTCTTAATGAGAAACGACATGCTAACAACCGATGAATGCGCCTTCGCTTTGAGCACCGACGAATTTATGGACGAGCCCATAGCGATGATTATTTCGGAGAACAGTCCATATTTAAATATCATCAATGCCGAGTAAGTTAATTAATTTGTTTTATTAAACGTCAATCCCGATGACGTGACTTACTTAAGGGTACCGTGATATTCTCGAATTTTTTTAAATACCTTCTATCGCGTCTCGTTAATCTTTCCTCTTAACGGCTCCTAAATTGCGCATAAATTTTACAATTTTTTTTTTTCCGTCGATAAACACCGTCATTTCTTGCCAGTCGCAATTCGATAATGGACTCCGCGCGAATCTATCATTTTGCCTAAGCGATTATTAGCCGAACGAGCTCCGTCATTCAGGTTACATCGCATGCACGAGTCCGGATTGATGAACAAGTGGACGTCGGAGCAGATACCGTTGAAAGACAAATGCTCGGAGAGTCTTACCAATCAAGCCGTGGTGGAGCGCAAGGTGAACGTGGCGGATATGCAGGGCATATTTTTCGTGCTTTTCATGGGTAACGTGCTCCCTCATTTCTTTTTTTCTCCTCGCGTGCGGTACCGCGTCGCTCGCGGCGGACTGTGTAATAACAGCCCGTGGGAATAAAAGCGACTCGTCGCTTGTGCTCGTTTCAGGCGTGACCGGATCGATATTTCTTTTGTGCTGCGAGTTCTTCTGGCACAGGCACCAAGTGGCGAAGCAACGCAAGTTGATTCAGCCTTTTGTCTCCTGAGTCTCGGAGGACACGGCGGTGGATAGACGATAGATTAAATCGCCTCCCGCTTGAACCGTTGACGTTAGAGAACATCTGTACACGCAATTAGACTTTATAATTGCCTGTATTCACAATTAATTACAGGGAAACGCGTTTCCGCACGAGCACTACGATCTCCCTCGTATTTGTACGTCTAACGACCGTTTAATTGTGCGACACGGTTTTTTTGGCACAGATTTCTTCATATAATACATTTTACGAGGCAAATTTTAGAATGTAATCGATAAGATGTAAAGCATAAAGTTTTTACGATGAGTAAAATAGTACGAGATTTATCCTCGAGACAAAACCATTCAGACGTTATTACCATATGTAGAATCAATAGATGACTTTTTTTATAACAACTTTTTTTAGCGATGCATTACAAAAAAAAAAGAAGAATAAAACTCTGCTATTATATCACAAACCATTACTCGTAAATCCTAACTTCAATTTCACACATGAATTATTCTGTCGAGGTCATTCTACAAAGTATCGAGAAAAAAGTTTTAAAAAACAACAGATAGTTCTTCACATCACAATTAGATCAAAATTGATGGATCTGCCTTTTTATTAAACGGACACTTCAAAATTGATCCGAGTTAATCGCGCATCGATCATCGTCAGGCTTATCACCTCGGGCTTATCACCAATCGTTCCAATTTGAACGTGACGTTCGAAAACGTTCGAGGGGAACATCGGGAGGGACAGAGGAGGACGCAATCCGCTCCGTAATAATCCTTCGGTATAATAATCGCGACGGAACGGAATAGGAACGCACGCGAAGCCGTCCCATTGTTGGCTCGCGCGTCGGAATCCTGGATTCTGAATTGCGCATTCACACAAGCGGCCCGCGGTAAAAGTCATCGCGATATTACGTAACGCCTCATTCGCGGAGATCCTCCCACTCGGGGAGTCATCAGTCGAAAGCAGATCCTCGCTTCGCCTCCGCCTAAGAACCTCCGCGCGGCCGCCGCGTACCGCCACTACCGTTATCGCGCGCGATAATATCCGCATATTTTCGTTCAGATTCGCGACCCGACGCGAATAGATACGTGCGATCGTACCTCGAAAGCCGATCGGGCACTCGAAAGAGAGAGGAGTCTTTTTCGGCTCGCTCGATTAACGGCGATGCCGCGAACGGGGTCGGTGTATCAGCGTGTGGCACGCCGAGTAATGTAAAAATGTCTTGGTCAAAACACGAAGGCATTATATACCAGTCCTCAATTAATTATAGCTTTAGTCTTTAATTGTTTGATGATAACAAAAGCGCTTTCTTTGATTTCAATCTTCGATTATCTTTGTAATTTTACACTCGACATTGAAAATAATAACGCGATCAAATAATATTCTCGTTTGGCGAAGAGAGGAGGAGGAGAGAGAGAGAGAGAGAGAGAGAGAGAGAGAGAGAGATTCAGATAGAATGTTCTTCGGTAGGCATACTTATCCTAATATCTTTGCCATTGGATCGCGAATATAAGGAATGACACGCGCACAGATACACACGCGATGGCACGCGAAATCGCAAACGTAAGCACAGCCGGGCAGGGAGACGGGGCGGCATACTTAAGATCGCCTTCGTGTCGAAACGGTGAGAGACGGAAGCTTTTGAAAGAATAGAGAAGAAGAGCGGCAGGATAAGGAACCTGGCGGCTGGGAGGGAAGTTATGTGCGCAATTTAACGGGGATTACGACCTTAGCCACTTAAGAAGTCGCGGTAGTAATCGGCGGTCTTCGAGCGGGCCCCCTCAAGAGCGGGCCCGGAGCGGGCCCCGCGCGCCTCGGACGGGCCTCTTGAGCGGGTCTTAATCGAACCACGGGCCTCGACGAGCTAGGCTCGACGAGCTGGCCTAGCGCACCTGATCCGCGCACGTTCCAACGTGAGTCAGTCCCGACGTAGAACGCGAACGACTAAGGCTAATCCTGAGACCAGAATCGGCTGTGGCTCGCGTCGCGGATCCTCTCCATCTCCGGCCCGGCCCACAACTCCATCATCGGAGCATCGAGAAGAAAGCAGCGACCGGAAATGATGGGAAAGCCACTGCACCTGATCGTAATACTGCAGCGTACGTAAGGCCGTTTCGATTACCTTGCTGATTATCCGATCGATTCGATGGATTAATCCGGCGTAAGCTTCGAATATATCGAAGCCTCTCCTCCGCGTAACGAAAGCGAAATAAGTTAATAAAGTGTAAATAAATAAAATATACTTTTTTAATTTAAATTATATAAAAATGAACGTTTAATTAAGGATAGAATTATCTTATATTCGTATTGTCAGTTTTTTCAGAGAGAACACGTTTAGACGTAATTGCCAAGGCTGAGGTTTATAAAGAAAAAAAAAAAAAAAAAAAAAAAAACAAAAAAAAAAAACTAGCTTGTTATTCGTGGGAAGGCTTCAGTTCAGAGAAACGGATGATATACATAACATGCATTGAATTACACAATGTAATGAATTTTAAAGTTTCCCACTGATCCTATGTTGCAGCAGTATCGTCCGCGTTCGCTTATAGGTACGATCCTTGGTATCGCGCGGACACGCAGCGTCCGGTTGACGTTATTACCGATGTCATCAACGAGCTCGGGGTGAGGATCCTTCAGCAATATTCGACACGGGGAAACGTCGCGTTCTCGCCCACGGGGGTTGCCTTCGTATTGGCGGCGCTCTATGAAGGATCCGCGGGTAGAGGAAGCCAGCAAATTGCCCAGGCTTTAGGTCTACCAGCCAATCGGGATGTCACCAGGATCGGCTTCAGGGATATTCACCGACGATTACGAGTAAGATCACGTGAAACGTGAATATTTAAGCGCTGTCTCTTAAAGACAGACTCTTGCACTTTTCTCAATATACTTTAGGAGAATTCGATTTAATCGCATGATTTTATGTTAGTTTTGCCTTAGATTTTTTTATTTCTAAATATATTTAATGTTGAGAATAAAATTAATAATTGCTATAAATTATATTAAAGTGCTTTAAGTGATAATCAGTGAATCAAATTATGTTGATTTCAAGAGCTACCTTAATGCCGATGGCTTTCTGGGCGGGCTGACGCTGAGCAGAGAGAACACCAGACTCCGTCCCGAGTACGAGGACATTCTGAGATTTTACGGCTTCGATCTGTCGAGTATCGAGCAAGAAGCGAATGTTACCGTTAGCACGGGAGACTCATCCGGTACAACCAAACTTCCGACGTCCACAGTCGGCGTAACCACGCTCCCGACAGAGACGACAAACACCGGGAGCGTACCGGACATGACGACGACGACGACGATGATGTCAACCGATGTTGGCACGACGCTACCTCCGAGTGGTGCGGAGACGATGATTCCATCCACCGTAACGGACGCGTCTACTCAGCAACCTCTCACGATGGTACCAACGGGTGCGACCGATGTACCGTCGACGTTGGCTCCGGTCACCGGCGACGGGGCAGCCGTTCAAAACGCGTCGCCGACGCAATCGGCAAATTCCACAACGGCGGTCACTTCCGGCGAAAGTGTCCAGTCGACTACGTCCGCTGGCGCGGAAAGTGTCGCGGGTTCCCCGAATACGATTACACCGGCGGTGAACGCGGACAGCCAAACGACCCCGACTACGGTCGCCGGCGCGGGCGATCAGAGTCCGCAAACTTCCCCGACCGTCGCCGCCGATGGTGTCGGAACGGGTGAAATTGTGACGAGTACCATCGTGCCCGACGCGACGGCCGCGGATGTGACAGCCGCAGCTGCGACCGATGCCGCCGGCGGGATGGTGTCGACGAGTACCCAGGCTCAAGTATCCTCGACTGTCGCCACGAGTACCGAGGCGCCAATGACGACGAATACGCCGAGCTCGGCGGCCATGATCATCGCGAATACCGATTCATTAGCGGCCGCGATAGACGTCAACGTGACGCCCGCCAACGTGACGTCTCCTTCCGAGGCGATTTTAAATACCGTTACCACGAATTCGTTAACCACTGTGGCAATCGCAAATGTCGCGAACGTGACTATCCCGAGTCCCGTTACCGAAACGACGGCGGACAGCGTGGTTTCGCAACCGAGTACGTTGGCAGATACTCCGGCTACGACGGATATCCCGGGATCGACGGCTACAAATAATCTCGCGATGACAACGATGACCAATATTGACGGCGCCGCCGCGGTTTTTCCGCGGCACCGCCTGTCTCGGTAACAAACACCACGAGCGATCTCGTCGAAAACAATCTCACGATCGCAAATACTACGAGTCCCGTGGATAATCAGACGACCGCGTCTCTCGTGGACGAAAACACTATTTCGATGAATCGAAAGAAAAAGGATCTGACAGATGTACGAATTAACGACAATACCGTTAAGCAGGAGTCAACGAACGAATCTCTGAATGTTCGTAAACGCAAAGCGAGAAGTCCGCGCGGATATTTTTCTAGCTATCCTGGTATGTTTGATTATTGGATTTTTTATTTTCACCGAGTTATGTTATGAATCAAGAGCTGCCATATGCGCAATGGATTATTATTTTTTTAACTTATCTTGCAGGAAAATTTTGACACTGAATTATCAATAATTATTATCACAAATTATGTAATTAATATGTGAATTACGTAATTAGAAATATCGGATTATTAAAAATATCGGTTATTAGAAATATCAATTTTTAGAAATATCGGTTTTTCTACTAGACAGAATTATATAAATAATTTAATGTCGCATTTATAAGAAAAATTTTTTTCCAAATGGGGGAAATGTTAAGTGATTGATAGAATTTGATTTCCCATCTTTCAGATGAAGGTATCTGGATGCAAGATTTAGAGATTTGGAAATCGTATAACACAGTAAATCCAGGTGATTCCTCCGCTGGAGATTCCTCAGCGGAAATATCGTTTTTGGTGAATGGTTGCGACGTTTCCTCGGTATCGGCTTCGAGATACATCGCCGTGTTGCCTTTCGCGTATTTCCCATCGTTACAAGCCGTCGCACTTGAGTTTCCTTTGGACGTAAGTCGAAGTGAAGATTTAATGTAATTTAATTTCACTTTCTTCAGAACTTAAGAAAATCTAACTTTGATTTATCAACTGTCAATTTAAAATTTTTCTGATTATAAAAATATAATTAGAGTTGCACGATCATAGATTATAATCTATCTTTCAAACAAATTCTAAAATATTTTTGCGCACTGTACGGGCAAGGGAAAAATATTTATTTAAATAATATTTAAAAATAAATAGCCTGGATTTGTGAGTGATGGTTGATTTTTGGAAATTAAACACTAATTGTTTTCAAGTACAGTTGAACAGCATAATGAATCTCTTATTTTCTTAACATTCAAGGATCCCCGATACAACATTATACTTTTCATGCCCACGGATAAAACGGATACGCATCGTCTAGCGAGGGATCTCAGCGGAAAGTCATTGAGATTGTTGAGGAAGCGATTACAGCCTACTTGGGTCAGGGCCACTATACCTTCGTTCATGCTGCGTGGTTTCGTCACACTGACGTCATTTCTACAAAGGGTAAGGGATAATACATCGTCCTTTTTGACGTCAACGTCCTGCCAATGCCAAATGTGGGCGCCGAGTAGAAAAATATTCAGAATTATCGCGCATGAAGGCGTCGTGTATAATTTTCCATAATTTCTCATTCTCAAAGACTTTCATTCCAAAGTTTCAGACAGACATTAAGAAATAGTAGCTAACATTATGGTTAAACATAATCACAAGTCCTTCACATCTTAATTAATTTGCTTATTTGATTTCACAATATTTTTCTAAAAAGTTATGTATAATTTAAATATAAATTAAATATAAATTTATATGTAAGTTTAAATATAACAAAAACATTTCTTAAGACCATTGTGTGAGTAGGAGAAGGAGACTGAGATTGAGGAAGGATGAACCAAGATTATTATTGACGGATGCGTGACTGGTATATATTTACGTCGATATTCGTCGATCGTTTGCGTAATCGGTAGTGATGTTCCTTCCTTTGACTGTCTCTTTCGCAGTTGGGTATCCTGGACGTATTCGAGCCGAGAGTGGCCGATTTGTCGCCCATGACATCCGATCTCAGCGTATACGCCAG